GATGCGGGGCTCGATCCCAGGACCCTGGGATCATGACCTGAGCCGAAGGCAGACGCTTAACGACTGAGCCACCCAGGCGCCCCCAGGCTTAAATTTCTATTAGTAGTTTCCGCCATATATTTAGCCCTAAAATGGTGACAACTGACCACAACATACTCTTAAAAAGGGGATGAAATTAAAGTTCCTCAGTACCTTGGTGCTAACATAGTTGAACTCTCAGTCTTTGATTATGGCCACTCCTCAACTAATGTAAATCTTTTACCCCCCAAAATGGCAAATTTAAGACTTATGGAACTTATCTTGGTTGTCTTCTTTTTAAGGGATCGTTATTTCTTCAAAAGGTCTAACTGTTTGGAAATCAGCGGGACAATTACAGAGACATAAAGGATTTCAGAGGATACATTTTGAGCTTAGGTTTTTCCCTCTGTTGAATAATGAGATTTTATAGGTTGTCATCATAACCAACGCTTAGTTCATGTTGTTGATCCAATGACCTATAAATTGTACCATTTAAAAATAATTCCCTCCACTTGCAAATTCAAAAGTTTTTAAATCAAGATTTACCTGTACATATGCTCTGTATGAAAATTGTTTTTTAAAGTTGGTTTTTCAGGCTATGCCTATTCCTAGTTTGAAATGCATTAAAAGTATGAGATGTAATTTAGAGATTTAGTTTCACCAGCTATCAAAATATCTCTCTCTCTTTTTTTTGGTTTTCCTAAAATCATTTTATTATAAGAAAGTGTTTAATAATTTCCACTTTGAATTTCTTAAACCATTTTACAAACTATTCATTTTATAAATATTTTACAAAGGGAATAATAGTTTCAGCATTCGGAGACTATTAAATTGTATACCACTATGGTGGAATTTTTAAATTCTCTTAATTATTGTGCTTTAAGTCACATTCATATTTACAGGTTATTACATAATTATTTAAAAGCAATGTTATCGTTAAGATAGATATCATATATGTCGATTTTAGATTAAATTATTTGAATCGAATATGTATAGTCAGCTACAAAAGTATATGATATAGTTAGCTGTACCCTGATTTCTTTCTATAACAGTTCCACATTTCTGGATACAATTTTAAAATGCCAGTGGGGAGCCTGGATACAATTTTAAAATGCCAGTGGGAAGCCTGGGTGGTTCAGTTGGGTTAAGCGGCTGACTCTTGGTTTCAGACTGGGTCATGATCTCAGGGTCCTGGAATGGAGCCCTGCACTGGGCTCTGTGCTCACCTGGAAGGCTGCTTGAGGATTCTCTCTCTCCCTCTTCCTCTGCCCCTCCCACTGCTCATGCTTTCTCTCTCTAAAATAAATAAATATATCTTTAAAAAAATGCCAAGAAAAGATAGTTTTCTTTTTTGGTTCTTATAATGAATTACTTGACATGCTATGTAAGAATATAAATTATTTTCTAAGCCTACCACAGATAAATTGTGAGTTTATGGAACTCATTTTATCATAATTTCCTCAGTTGTAGAGTTGATAGCATCATTAGCTGATCTTCTCTTTCATCAAATTGTATTGAAAATCAGTTTGGTTTTCTCATAAAATAATAATTGACAAACCATGACTTCAAGTTACAACTATTAGAAACAGTATATTACTTATATAAAACTTATCACACTGTATTTATTGAGTGCCACCATTATGGGATGCACTAAGGAAGTGTAAGATGTGGGCTGAGTCCCCAGTATAACCTAATCAAGGAATATAGACACATGAAATCACTAAGACACTAATGAGTACTAAGTTGTAGGATACCAGGTAAAAAGATAATAAAGTTTAGTGAAAAGATAGTAAGAGTTTAGAGAGAAGCCATAGAGATTAGCGTGGCATTAAGTTGTAGGATAAAACAGGAAAACTAGAGGCAGTTTGTATAAAGAACAAATGAGATAGGATAATTATTTTCTGGAAACACCAACCCAGAGGGTTTCTGGATTTGAAGATGCTAAGCACAATACATAGTAGAAGTGAGGTGGCTAGACTGAGAATAAGGGGATTGAGTGAGAGTCTGTATCTGGAATGGTGAGATCTTCCTCAGCTCTTTCCCCTCTCTAGCCGTGAGGTGTAAGTCTCTGTGTAACCTGTTTAAGGGATCCTTCTCTGAAAAAAATAGATTATTCCCCTCCCCCACCCATCGACCCAGAGCAATGGCTATAGATACCGATATTTGGTAGTTTCCTTTGAAAAGGTAGATGTGCCAACCAATATCCTTATAGTGGAGTTATAAGTTAATAAGCTTACCAATGCATAACAAGCTCTCATTCAATTTTTAAAGAGACTTACTTTTAAATATAACCAGAGAGCTAGAGATTATGATACTTTTGGAGAAATTCTCCACCTGTAAATCCAAGATCTTTGTGTATGAGTTTAAAAAAAACTAAAAGAATCAGGGACAGTG